TTTTCACGATGGTAAGGCTATAGGAAGTAGTCTGATTACGACAGGCAAAAAACATTTTAAAAAAATTCCAAAAAAAATGTTATACTTAGAAATTTTTCAAAATGCTCTTAATTGATGAGAAACGTAAAGATAAAATTGTTATTTTTTTTTTCTTCAAAAATTATCATCAAAATTACCATCTGACCACTAAACAAAAAAATTCGTATTTTTCAAAAATATTCAAAAGAAAATTCTAAAAAATGATTAAAAATGCTCTTATTTGATGAGAAACATGCAGAAAAGATAAAAAGTTTGATTTTTTTTCGAAAAATTATCATCAAAATTTTTCACCATCTGACCACGACATATGAAATTATGATTTTTCAAACAAATTCCAAAAAAAATTGACTAAGAAATGTTTCAAAATGCTCTTATTTGATGAGAAACATACAAAAAAGATATCATTTTGATTTCTTTTAAATCATCAACAATGTTTACCATCTGATCATGACACACAAAATATTTTTTTTTAAAATTCCAAAACAAATTTTATACTAATAAATTTTTCAAAATGCTCTTAATTGATGAGAAACATGTAGAAAAGATACAATTTTGATTTTTTTCCAAAAGTTATCAAAATTTTTCACCATCTGACCACAATATGCAAATTAAGGATTTAAAAAAAAAAACTCCAAATGCAATAAAATACCCTAATTTGACCTGTTATAGGTGCCACTAAAACCCTTACTGTAGAATTTATGACTTTAAAAAAGAAATCCAGAAAGAAAAATCCAAAAATTAATTACCCCAAAACACACTCCCATGTCAAAATTTTGTGCTAGACATGAAAAGAAAGTTTCATATGTTGCTCTGTTATAGATGGCTCTAAATGCAATACAATGCCTCAAAACATGTTCTTATGTAAATAATTGTGTGAAGTGTTCAAAATTCAAAATTGGCATCAAGAAAAATATATATACATAGATATATTATCACTATTGTATTCTTCTGTGAAATTCATAATATAGTAAGGTTTTTGTGTCATGTCTAGATATTTTTACCCTTTAATTGTTAACACAAATATGGCATTCAAAGTTCCGCTACAAAAAGTTAACTTAAAACATTTTGGATGCTAGAAGTGGACACTAGAAGTGCAATATATAAAATATAAAATCAATGTTTAGTACAAGCACCTATCCAGAACTGATTTTTCAGTTTAAAACCTCTCATAAGAACATGGTCTGATTCCAATAGATCTATTGTCTCTTTCATACAGTATCTGTATGGTTGGAACAAAATCTAAACTCTCTACGAGCAAATTACAGACAAAAACAAATATGTTTTAACATTTTATTTAGTGATTTAGTTTATCTAATCAAAACAATACAAGCCAACTGTACCAAATGAAAACTCCAGTAAGAAACTGTTGCTGAAACATGTTTTTGTTTTCCAAACCTAGACCATGTCAGCACCTCCCTACCTCCAGGGAGTTCACACAGTTCACGTGTGTGATGTATTATGTTTATATTAATGTTCTCTTTTATCAAAGCTTCAAGTGAAGTATTTCACTCAGAGTACTGACTGCATTTAAAGTATGAAGTGGAAAAGTGCAATTATATAGGAGGTGAATAGAACTTTTATGTGCTCATAAAAATACCATATTGCTAAGTGTCACTTTCAAGTTTAAATTATAGGAGTGTGCTAAAAGTGACACATTAGTTATTTAAATCAGTGTTCCCAAAACCTGTTGCAGCCATAGAACATATTTTAAATTAGAAAAAACCTGTGGTGCATCACCAAACAAAAGGTGACAAAAAGTATCTGTAATGATATATAAAAGCCTTCTAGTTTCAATTTACTTACTCATTTCAAAAGCTGGGTCTGTTTAGTTGAACAACACTGACAGACTCGAAGGAATTGAAGGAACACAGATCTTCAAAGGCTCCGAGCCCTTTTTTTTAGTTTTTATGGCCATCTGGTGCCCCCTGGTGGATGATTATTTAAATTTCTGCCCATCACTGTCACATACTGTAGACCTGCAAAGACAAATATTTGCAGTGAGTAATTGATAGCTTTGAGACTAATTAAGTGATATGGGGCAGTTTTGGTTGGGAATCACTGATTTAACGTCACCTAAGTGCACTCAGAACATGAAAAATACTAGTGTGAAATAAATAAAACATGTCAAAACAACCGGAATTTCTCCGTCATCAGTCGATCATGGAATCAGACCAGAGTCTATAAACGCTGGTCATTAAATCTGATCCACTGAGACAATGCAGACACACCAAGGTCCAGGGCAGCGGGGGTGGGTGTCTTTGTCCGAGCGGAGTTGTAACGTTAAAGATTCACAGTTACGTGTCACTACTGAAATAGTGTCAGAAGATGACAGGAAGAAGTGGGAATATCAGCATGATGGCCAACGGCTAGAGGGGAAAATTTAGGTGAGACGGATTGAGCTGTTAGAGTTAGCAGTGGTACCATTCTAAGGCTGGCTGAAGTCAGAGTGAAACAATCTGCTGAAAGCCAGTATTTTATCATCTGTTAAAGTCGTCAAAACTGTGTAGTGTGTACCCGGCTTAAAAGCGTCAAACGGCAGCCTACATTAAAAATATGACTTAAAGAGAGAGAGGTAGAGTACAACTGAAACACAAGCACATACTGAAGTCTTACCATGAACTACTGTTTGCAGGGCAGAAGTGAAACATTAGGAAGGAATATTTGGCACTATCCTCCCAAAATATTAACAAGTAAATATTTGTTAACATTATGAATCAACTCAAGGATGTTATTAAAATTTCATGATGTAATCTGCGTTGTCATCGTCACTATTTTTTTTAGATGTCAAAGTCATCATTGGTCCTTGTTTGGGATCAGGGTTCACTGTGTTAGGAGCAGGGAGAGAAGACTGAGGCCAAACTGACAGAAACAGTTCTGAGGAGCAGGCGTCGTCGTGGGTGATCAGGCGTTTCACCGTCATCACTGATTGGTCGGGGCCGACTCCTGCGGCTTCAGGAAGAGCTTCATCACAGGGAGCACTTCCACTGAGGACTCAGCCAAAAGGCAGCTCTCATCAGGGACACAGCCTCTGGTTCTCACTCAGTGTTGGTCTTCAGGACAGATGGTGTGCAGTCTGTGAACGTCCTGTGGGAGACAGGGACACGAGCGAGGTGAAGGGTGAGGAGACATCACAGGCTTTTTCAGCCAAACAAATGGCGTTTACTTAAAAAGAACAATCTTCACTCAGTAACAAGTGACTTTTAACTTGTTTTTAGTGCTGCCAAAATTAATGCGTTGACAGGTGTAAAACATACATTTAACACAATAAATTAATCAGATAAACATTTCTAATGAATTTTAACACTTTACAGTCAATATACACATTCATTAAATTTCACTTCTGTATTGACATTTGTATGTATTACATGTTAATAATTCCATCATTTGGATTAGTCATAAACAGTTGAGAAATACTGACATCTACCTGCAGTTATTGGTCTTTCTTTTCCATTACAAGAAAATAAATTTTTTTCATCACATTTAGAAATGTTAATTTATCTCAATTAATTGCAATCCCATGTGATTAATTAGGTGATTTCTTATCCTTTGACAGTCCTACGTTTTGTTTGTTTTTTACTGCACTTTTCTGCTGTTTTTAAACCTGCTTATAAATAAATTAAATGTTCAACAGGATTCGTTTTTTTTTTTTGCAGTGTCTTTACATTCGTTGTTCACCTGAGGGGATGCACAGGCCAGGTGGGCTGCACTGGTGTTGTCGCTGAAGAGCTTGGGCTCATCAACATGGCACTGTAGATGTTTGCTGCCACCACCAGGATGCAGAGCAGGATCGGCCCGATGATGGCGCCCTCCAGACCCAGATAGTACGCGCCACCAGCCACTGCTAGACCAGTTAGGTACGGGTGTCCACCGCTGCACACAAAACCATATGGAGACAGTTTGATGAAGTTTGTGGGTCAGTGATCTTCACAAATCATTAGTAACATCTCACAGGAAAGATGATGATTCCACATAAAAAAAACCTACCCAGAAATGTCAGAGTAAATGGCCGTGTCCACAAAATATGTGGGCAGCAGGTGACAGATCAGCAGCAGCACAGCCTTGACACCTTCGCCCTGCGCCAACCACAGGTCACACACGGCTGGTACCGCAGCCCAGTACGTTCCCAGGAACGGCACGGCACCCAGTGTAGCTGCTAAAGCTTCAGACCAGGAGACGAAAAATAAATATAAAAGAGTATATAAAAGAAAATAAATAAATATTACATCCTGACTGACCAGAAGGAATGAAGACGATGTTGATGCCAAAGATGGTGTGAGTGAGCCAAGTGTAGAGGCCGTAGAAGGCGGCCATCTTCAGAGAGGCATCAAAGACTCCTCTTCAGTAAAAACAAACACACATCAGAGTTCAAATCGTCTCCTCCAGTTTCTGCATCTTTTTTTTTTCTGACATCAGTTAAATGTGTTTGTGTTCACCTGGTAGCCTCTTCAACAGACTGGCCTATGATATTAGAGGAGGGTCCAGGCTGAGACAGAGGGGTCAGACTGATCACCCACTTGACTGGTTTGTAATATTCACCACTGGAGCTCAGCAGGTAGAAGAGAGTGGTGAGGAAAATCACCTGCAGACACAAAGGAAAAACTGTGAGTAAATCTTCTTTTAACCTGAACCAGCAGTTCCAAAACGTTTGTGTAGACAGGAGTATTGTCCCCACCCCCACTCTGCTGGTCTCTTACCAGACTTAGTGCAAAGTTGAGCAGAGCCGTGCCACTGTGGAACAAGACGGTGAACAGAGTGGTCGTGGTTGAGATGAGGAGGCCGACGTTCCTGCTCATCACCACCCAGAGGGACTCCAGGATCTACAAAACAATAACACACACACACACTTTATTATTAAAAAATCTCTTCTATTATAAAAATACTTTGTAGCCAATAACTATTAGTAAAATTCTAAAGTGTTAATTTTCTAATATGTAAAATGGTTATTACTGTGTGCACCTTAATTTCACTAAGAAAAAAAAATTTAATGTAAACATTGAAGCAATCAATCTTTGATCTGTGTGATTTTCTGTCCCATTTCTTTCAGTCACATTTGACTGGAAACGATCCCAGCTGTCACCAGGTGAGGGCAGAGTACACGCTGGATGAGAGTTGATCACAGGTCACATGTCCACACTGGTTTATTTTTATGGTCTACTCAGAGTTAACTATTAACCTCCTGTGTGTGGCTGTGCATTGTGGGAGAAAAACCAGTGAACATACAAGGACTGGGACCCAAATCATCAAACTGATGACCTTCTTGCTGTACTGCAAAATGACTAACCAAATTCTCCAGGCAGTATTTGTATCACAATAAAAAGAGTAGTTCCTGAAGAACACAACTTTGTCACTCATTGTGCACACTGTGTGTGTGTGTGTGTGTGTGTAAGCTGAACCTTTGCCTGAGAGAGAGAGATAACAATGTAGTAACACACCCATACTTACAGACAGCAGAGTCTCAATATTGTCCTGCAAAAAGGAGGCAATGTCCTTCCAGTCCAAGATGTCCACCAGCCAGCTGTTCTGCCTCTGAATCTTGTGGCCACCACGGTGGCGGCCAGAATGGGTGACATTCTGACAAGATAATAATAAACATTTCTCATTAAAAAAATAAAATATATAAATACACTGGACTGGACAGAGCCTTTTACTGCACCTTCACAAACCAGGAGTGGTACAGTCGGTCCCAAAGCTCCAAAACCTGTTTTTCAATAATGGCCGTGTTGTTTACTTTGTCTCCTAACATCTTATGAAGCTGCAGAGAGGACAGGGAACACAGATGCGTGTGTGTTGGACAACGTGTCTTTATATTTCTGAGGTGAATGTTGTTCTCCTCACCCTCAGGGTTATCCATTCTCTGCCGTGTTCATAAACATTTGTGGCGGCTGAATTCATAGCCTTCTGGATCACACGAGCCTCTGGGAGCCAACTGCAGCACAACAGAGTTTAAAAAAAAATGTGGTTAGTGAAAATTAAAAATAAGTAAAATGAGGAGAAACAGATTAAACGGACGTACTTTGCCCATTCTGGATGGTTAGACACAGTCTCGTTGATGAGATTACTGGTGACCTCGATGATCTGAACACTTTCATGATGAACCTTAAAAAAAAAGAGGGAAACGGCTTCAGTTTTGGCAGTGTTACTAAAACAAAGTAAAAAAAAAAAAGAAGAGAAATAATACCATAGCTGTGAGCAGCAGTGCCATCAGAAGAGTCCCTGTGACCAGGATGAAGATGATGAAGATACTAATGATTTTGTCCAGAGATCGCTCCAGGCCTACGATCATCTGCACAAGAGGAGGAGTGAGGAGACACAGAGACAGGACAGGATAAAGAAAGTGAAAGGATAAACAAACAAAGTGAGTTTAACTCTGAGGTAAATGAAAACATAAAGGGATCAGACACATGGAGAAACCTGTGTTCGTCCGTGATCCGACCATTTTGGATCTAAAATCTCTCCTTTTCTGCTTTGACAACAATCAAGTATTCAACAAATACATCCATGTGTTTTTGTTTTTTCAGCAGAGAGAACTCTCAGGCCAAGAAACACGTGTATGTCCTACACTCTTTAACCCAGGTTTCTCAATGATCCAAAATGACTGTATTAAATCAGAACGTCTGAGGTGAAAAAAACATCCTGTCATGTGACGCTGTGTTAAAATCATATTAGAGGCTGTGTTAGTGACCATCCTTCTCTCAAAAGACCCTGATGTCATCATCTGGACGATGACGTAAAGAGTAGAAGTTCCTTTACATTTTAGTAACAGAATAAATTAAAATTTGTCAAACTATATTAATTGACAGCAGTTTAAACCAATCAAAAAGTGTGTTGTTTTTACAGCTATTTTACAGTGCATCACCGGAGATGACTCTAGATAAACATCCTTTACATTTGAGCGCCTCACCGGAGATGACTCTAGATAAACATCTTCACACAAATTGATATAATCCTGTTACATCATCTGTACAAACTACAGCACCTCCTGATTACCTCAGCAAATAGCACAACCTTCAGACATTAACATGGAGCCACCTTCAGTGTTCAATGGGGATCAGTGAAGATTACTGTCATAGCGCGGTACAATAAGATAGAAAAAAGATGTCGTAGATCCACCAGGTCTAAACGGTCGTCAAAATACAGATTAATTATTTTTAAATTAACAGGTGAATAACTGCCACAACGAGACAGGATCCTACAGAAACTGGAACTGCACTTGTTTTTTACGCCAACAACCAGTAAATACACAAACTTACACGCAGTGACACCTAGTGGCGCACAACGTAATAAAGTCTTATGAAAATGATTTGATAAGGATTGTTCTGAAGCTACATTAGCAAAACTAAAGTTGCTGGTATGATATTATAACGTTTGGTATCTTAGTGGTTTAGGAAGAATTTACACAGCTTAGAGCAGGATGATGTATGTTGTACAGACAGAAGAAAGTAATTAAAAAAAGAAGAGAGAGTCTTAGAATTTGATAAAGTTTTCAGGAAAAAAAAGATCAAACTTATTTAAGAACAAATAATTAATTTAAGTAACTGAAGTTTCCATTTGACTTAATGTGTGATTGATTAGAAAAGAAAAAAGGGATAATTTAATTAAAGCAGAACACAGGAGGAAACAGACAACACATGGACACAGACAGAGCTGCACCTCGTATGTGTGAAAACACTGTGTTTATATGCAACTTCCACAGACAAATAGAAGCACTGCATTAAAACAGTAGAGTGAAAATGTCCATAGAAAATATTTAAGTGATGTTGCAGCCAAGGAAGTCTCATTTTTAGTTTTAAAGTACAGATGAAGCTCACTGATTTCACTAACTGACTCTGCTCTGTCCGTGTCCATCTCCTCACTGTGCAGCACACACACTCTCACACACACACACACACTCTCAAGTGTCTTTTTTCACAAGTCAATTCTGCCATTAGGGTCAAAGCAAGGAAGGTACACACAGGGCTGAGGGACCACACGGTCCAACGTCCCACAACTGTAACTTCCTGGGGAAAAAAGAAGAGGGAAAACAAAGCAAAAAAGCAGCAGCACGGGAGCAGACGTACAGGCAGAGAGCAGAGATGGCTGGTGACGTGAATGGATAAAGCGCCAGTCCAAGCTTAAGGGTGTGTTTTTACACTTCTCTCACACACGATATAAAAGGAAGTGTCTTTTTTTTTTTTAATTTAACTTTATTTCTCTCAAACCAAACACTCTCATGGTCAGTCAACCTCTCTGTCAACACTGGACTTCTCAAAGTCATTACCTGCTTGTTAAGCCAATGCCAGAGCTTGGAAGGAGACAAAGAGACATGTGAGGGGATTATTACTAGAAACAGGTCTGTGCAGCAGTCACATGTACCCGTGCAACAAGAACACAACTTCTGTTTGGGTACAGGCAGTGAGGGACCAGGAAGAGACAGGCAGGATTGAACCACTGACCATACAGGGAGCGCTGAATGCAAATCACCATGACAACAAAAGGCTTCCGGGAAAGAGACAAAACAAAGACACATTTGATTTTGCAGCAAGTTCAGTGTCCAGAACCTGAGAAATGCAGTTCACGCAGCAGGAGACATAGCATGGATTAAAACACACTTGTGTTTGTAGCATAGGTATTGTTGTAATTAACCCATTCATTTTTTAGAAATGAAAAATATAAGGAACCACTCGTTTCCTTCTCTTCGTCTCAGAGCTGCTGTGTTGTTCTACTGTCAGTGTGGTGCTCGGTCACACATGTTTATCAGAGTTAATCTGATAAATTAGCTAATCTTTCACACTGGTGAAAAAAGTGACAGTGAATGAGAACAACACAGTTGTATTTTGATTTACAGTAAATAAACTGAACTCTGGAGATCTCAGATCTTTGATAGAATAGAATAGAATAGAAAAGGCTTCTGTTGCCATTGGTTGAGTCCAACAAAATTTTCCGCCTTCAACTGTGCAAAATGCATGGAACATTCAAAACAAATAACGACTGAAAAGTTGACTGTTATAGTTTTAAAGCTAAATTAAACTCAACCACAACTAATAACAGTTATAGTAACCGAAAAAAACACAGGCCTCAAACGAACTAAAATACACGTTTGGAGATGGCTGTGCAGTGGAACACAGACAACGGAGCCAGGACTGTTGATGTGTAAATGAGGTCGTACAGTCCTGTGTGTCTGTGTGAGCGAGCCAGTTGGTTTGCATTATATTTGCAAGTGTCATTTGTATGTTTGAAATAACATAGTTTGAATATTATACTGAACCTGGTGGTTTATCAATCCATCCATCCTTCATCCATCCATCTGTCCTTCCTAGCAGCTATTCATCCATCCTTTCAGCCATCCATTTTGTCACAATAACTTAGATATTTGTACAATATCTGTATATAATCTGTGTTGTCGTCAGTAAAGTGTGAATGAAAGATCATTCTATTCCAACTGTGTGGATGCATTCAAGTAGGAAGTATGAACAGATGCTGCTCCAGAGGTCGAGGCTCTTAGGGTTTACCTTGGTGTCGATACGAAGCAGGAACTGAGCGAGACCTTTGATTGGTCCAGGCAGCAGCGCCTCCTCCCGCTCGCGACCGAACGCCTCCAGCACAGCCCACCACGAGGAGAGAGTCCGCTCTGCAAAGCTTTTGAGGCCAAAGTGAACCACCAGCTTCTTCAGCACCCACACTGGAAAAGTCACACGCAGAGTCTCAGTACAACACAGTCTGGTCTGGTCAGAACAATACAATATCTGCACAGCATTTACCAGCCACGGGGATAGGCAGAAGTTTCAGGATCCAGAGGTTGAGCCACACCTGAACCAGGACTATAGCCCAGGCCAGAAGGATGAAGTAGATATCACTGGCTCTGTGGGAGCTTTTCTTTTTATGGAAGAGGCCGCCTGGTAAAGAGCGAGAGCCCCGCATGAACTGAGGAGTTCCAGGTTCTGGCATCACAGAATCTACACCATCTGGGGGAAAATAATGAGAGGAGACTGTAAGAAACATCACTGTGGCATGAGGATGGATCTAATTCATATCTGTGGAGTCACCAATATGGCCCAGCAGCTGAGAGTGTCCTGACTGCATTTCTCAAGATCTATTATTATAAAAAGTAGATTAAATGACAAGTCAGGTGGCCTATTAACTTTTTCTATTAGTTGGAGTCTTTTTATAACCTGACCTGTTTCAGTGTTCCTTTTGAGTTAAAATGGAGGGCGGGGTCAGATTTACTGTATTTGCTTCAATAGCCACAGGGTTCCTTTTTTTTATCATCCCCACCATCAGCCTCTGCAAGTCTGGGCCAAACTCCACTTTGCACAACTCACTCCATGACAGAAAATAAGGAGAGTGAAAGGAAAGTGAACTACTTGTCATTGTGACACAGCACACCACTGCACACAACCAAATGTGACCTCTGCTTTTAACCCATCACCAAAGTGAACAGGGGGGCAGCTTTAGTGGGCAGTGTGTGGGGACGGTGCCATGCTCAGAGCACCTCAGTGTAACACCTCAAATAACTGAGAACCACTGCTCTAAAGTGTCTCACCTGTGTTGGAGTTTTCCCTGGGCTCCGTCTTTGGCTGAAGGTTGCTACAGGAGATCGCCATGTAAAAGGTATTAGCAGCGAAGGATAACACCTGCCCAGAGAGCTCCCCTGGAAATATGAACCGAGATCAACTCAGCTGAGTCTCAGATACAAAGTGTGGAAGTTCAGCTCAATGTTTGAAAAGTGAGTCAAATGTTACAGGGAGATAAGAGGTGATGAAGTCACTTTGTTTTTAACAAATGTTATCTTAGCTTAGCATAAAGACAATAAACAGTTATTCTGTCTCTATTAAACCTTCACCAAGTATATTTACCCACAGATTATGTTGCATTCAACACATTTTAACTGTAAACACTGTGGTGTTAGAGTGTCCGTGTGTGTCTGTATCTTTGTTTTGCTCTGTTTTTTTTACCTCTGCCAGGAGCAGGTGGTTTCTCTTGGGAGCCCATGATAAAAAGAAAAACCACAACCACAAATATTGGCACTCTCCACGAGCCTGTTAGAGACACTGAGATAGATGCAGAAAAAAGTGGTACAAATTTAGAACACCTAATTCTAAAGTACATTTACTTCACTGTTGAAATCAAGAGCAGCGGCGACAGGAGATATTTTAGGTCATAAAATGGAGAATAAATGAAACATATAAAAAGGTTAATTTGACACATTGTCACTTTCTCCTCCTGGTCCTCAGCAGTGTTTCTTTGCTGGCCTTTTTAACACCAGTTGTCTAAAGGGCAGCACTTGTTGTTACCATGCCCGGTTTGGGCTAAAAATAGCCGGGACTTCCTCGTCTTACGCTGCGTGTGTCTTGTCTGAAATACTTGCAGACCTGTAGAGGCAGTTCCCTTTTCTCAGCAAGAAACAGTGAGAAGCTGTTGTGTTTGAACAAAACATGTTTTTCTTACACGTTTGCTTCCTTGGGGCAAAGAAAACCGTGTGTATTAAAAAAGAAAAAAAAGAAACATGACCATCATTGTGGTTTGTGAGCAGGGAATTTACACGTACCTATGTACAAGAGCAGGATGGCCCAGACAGGCAGAGCCAGAGCCCTCAGGTAGTGCTCAGTCTGAGGACTCCACTTGAGACACACCACCGACAGGTAGCCAAACACCACCGTGCACACCTTGGAAAGGACAAAAGACAAAAATGTGGTTATTACAGGTTTTGTTTTGAGCTGCTGCAGCTGAGACAAGAGGTTATTCATGGAAGGTTAACTTTCACCTGCTTTCAATAGGTTTCATAACTTTGCAACTCATTACTGGCAAATCTACTTTAGGAAAATAACTTTCTCATTACTGGCAAATCTACTTTAGGAAATCTAATGCCTTTCCAAATTCTTAAGGCTCCACAGATGATAAACAATCTGCTTCTGTTTTATTAAAGCATGAAATGTGAGTCTCCAGACTGTAAACAATTAGAAACAAAGGTCTGACTCTCTGAGCTGTTTACAATCCACACAAAAACATCTTTCATCTTTTAAACTAATAAAGTGACTTCACTCTCTCTCACACAAACAGACCATCTACAAAACCAGATCTATTCCCAGAAGGAGAACAGTTTTTGGAAAGAAAGCTGTGGAAGTTGGTGTTAACAGGGTTTTAAAAGCCACAGTCACTGTGTCACTGCATCATTGAACCTGATAAATGCCTGGTATACATGTGTTATCATTTATATTTGTTTCAAATGTAAATATTTCCTGGGATTTCCAAGGCTGATGTGTCATTTGATCTCTGTGACATCACTGACATACTTTAGTGAAGGATCCTCTACAGACCAGTTAGCTGTGGTGTCACAGTCAACACAGAGCAGGCCCACATGAACCAGTGTTGACACCGGCCTTGTGACAGGAAGTAAAGCTATGGTGAAAATTTTGAAAACATGTAAATCTTGTAGAAGGAACGTTGGCTTTGAAAGTTCAACAAGGTTTGACGTGCCTGGACAGGAGTTTGTACACGTATGGCTTAGACACAGAGAATGACAGTGAAATATTGTATAATGGAATTTGATTTTTAACATACACTTGTGAATCTGGATTTATTTTACAATAATTATAGTTATTTTAAAAAGGCAATACAAATAGATTGTCATGTTGGTGAAAAAAAATTGGAAAATCACTTTGACTTAGGAAATATTAAAAAATAAACAGTAAAATGAAAACACAGAAACTAAAAATAATAAAATAGCTAAGGCCATAAAAAAGAAATACGCATTGCACTGAATAAGTGTTGTTTGGAATTGTACTATTTATGTATTAAATAAGTCAAGAGACAAAACCAGTGCTTGAAAACATGTGTCTGAATATATGTTGCTATTAGTTTATAGGTGTTTTTACTCTACCTGCTGCAGAAATATACTTTTTACATTCTATAGACAGATAGATATAGACTGGTAACTTCTATGAATTTATTTTCCAATAAAAAACGATACAAATAAAAACAAAACATGAGGGGAAAGTGTCATAAATTAAAATAAGTGGAGGGATTTAGAATTCAATATTTTATCACAAATAGACATAAAGACTAAACAATTTGACTCATATCATATATTTACATTCATCATATTTTTGGTTCCCACCCTGATTTTACTGGTAAAATTATGAAATACTGGCAGAGAAACGTTGATACTGGAACCAACTATTGGAACATACTGTTTGACACAGAAGCCCATTGTCTCTAAGGTGGGTAAGGGGTCATTTCTTACCCACTTGCCACTGTCCATTCACTCACCCATACAGCGTGGAACCAGTCCAGGGCAGTGTCGATGACCACACACACGTAGCCGATGACCACCTGCATGCCGATAACGCTCCAGAAGTAGTACAGGAAGTAAACCAGGGGTACCCCGGCTCCGATTGCCAGCAACACCGTGAGCCTCTCCAGCACCCGCCGGCCCATCGTCTCCACCCCATAGTTCACACACCACACCGGGACCAAGAGAGTCCCCACCACGATGGGTGTCCCGCTGTCCTGCAGACCACTGAGCCACGAGCGGCCTAGTTTGGCCAGGGAGTGTTTGAAGGGATGGAGGAAGGTGCCGCAGAGCACTGCCCAGAGCAGCGGGCGGAGGAAGGCCTCCAGGATGAAGTAGACCAGAACTGCCGCCCCGCAGCAAATGGCCACAAAAATCATTGCCCCCGTGTTGTAAAAGGCCTGTTTGATGTTTTTATCAAATTTGAGGGACGTCGGCTGGGTTAGCAACTGGCTCACCATCTCGACCGCCGGCTGTACGCTCTCGGAGAATGATACAGAGTGAGGCCGCCCAGGGTTAGGGCTCTCCGGGGGAGAGAGGGCGGCAGGCTCCGCTGCTGACTCCTCTTCGTCTGCCATGATCCCGGAGCCGCGTGAGGGACACCAACATGTGACGTAGCAGTGACGAAAACACGGAAACATCCCTTTCTCTTTCCTGAGCGTTACAGCCATCTTCTGGAAAGGGGTGGGAATTACATGGGAAATTCTTTTTTATTTACACCATATTCGTTCATTTTCTACCATTTTTGTTTATTTACCAAATAATTTTAAATAGTCACACTAACACCTATGTTGGATATTGAGTACATTATTAATCAATTGTGGAATGCGGAGGATTCTGAAATACTCCTCCCAGACTATGCGCAAGGTTAAATGTTTTTAATAAAATAAACTCAACCTGCAAACTATGAGCGAGGTGCAACAGGGAAAAGTGTCGGACATGGAACAAGGACCGTCCTGCCTAATAAGTCCGCGCCTATTGCGTGGTTACTATGGTAACAAACACAGCGACCAGTTCGGATTACGTTGGACTTTTGACTGAAGTTAACGCAAGAATAATACTTAAAGGCAAAGCAAAACTAAAAAAAATAGAACATCGCACTCTCGGATTTTTTTTTTTTTAGCAACGATGGGAGATAAAGAGGAAATTCCTTATTTTCAAAACAATGTAGATATCAAGGCAGAACACGAAGCTCAACCGAACAAGGAAAATGACAAAAAAAAGAGAAATCTGCCTGAAGTGAAGCCCCAGAAGCATTCAGGACCGCAGATTACGAAGAAATTCCTGAGAGACCACTGTAAACAGAACAAACTTTACGTGACCCCTCACCTGAACGACACACTGTACCTTCACTTTAAAGGCTTCTCCACCATTGAGAACTTGGAGGATTACACAGGACTTCGGTGTCTCTGGCTGCAGAGCAACGGGCTTCAGCGCATTGAGAATCTGGACGCACAGACTGAGCTGCGCTGCTTATTCCTTCAACAGAACTTCATACGCAAATTGGAAAACCTTGAACGCACCAGGAAACTGTGTACCCTGAACGTCTCAAACAACTACATCCAGAGAATTGAGAACATTTCTTGCCTCCCTGACCTGTCCACTCTGGAAATTACCCACAACAAGCTGCAGACTGTGGACGACATTGAACATCTTAGTCAGTGTGTGGCAATCAGCGTGCTGGACATGTCCCACAACTTGTTGACTGACCCTGAGATCCTCGGTGTCCTCCAGGCAATGCCAGAGCTGCGTGTTTTAAAGCTGATGGGAAATGAAGTGGTGAAAAAAATACCAAACTACAGGAAAACCATGATTGTGCGCCTGAAGCAGCTCACGTTCCTTGATGACCGTCCAGTGTTTCCCAAAGACAGGGCATGTGCAGAGGCATGGGCCGCGGGAGGCCTGGAGGGAGAGCGCCTGGAGAGGGAGCAGTGGGAAACACGAGACAGAAGGAAAATTCAGGACAGCTTAGATGCCATTTCTTTGATTAGGAAAAATGCTCAAGAGAGACGGCGTCTGAAAGAACAACAGGAGGAAGGTAAACACAGTTCTTCACTCGCAGAGATTTCGAATTAAAAAGATACAAATGTGTCATCTATCTGTTTTCTTTCAGGGGTCACTCAAGATTCGACCTCCGAAGGGAATCACCCCGAGCCTTCAAATCCAGCCCTGGCAAAAATGCAAGTATTTGAGCAGGACTGCGCGGATGCCCACAAAGAGTTCATAAAAAATCAACACGCAGACACTGGCACCATTGATGAGAGAAGAGAATGTGACCAGTCCAGCACAGACATCAATAATCAAGTGGCAGAAGAGAATGGAGCGCCCCCTCTACAGCGGCGTGCACAAAATCTAGATAATGATGCTGCAGCTACAGAGATAGAAATCACCACTGATAAACAACCACGTGAACTCCGGTTCAAGAGAAAGGAGGTAGAACTAGTGCAGGCAGAGGTGAGTGAGCACCAGCCTCCTCTCATTCAGCCAGTCGGTCCTGGAGAAGATGATGTTGTAACCATACACGGTCCAGGACCTCTGGTCACAGAGTTAAAAGACATGGAGGAGGTGGAAACCATTGACCTTCCACTGCATCGCTCACTGCTGATCGACGACCTGCCTGATCTGGAGGACGTTGATACAGAACAGTTCTCTGCAGCAGAGTTCAATCAGCAGGTGTGCCGGCCATTGATAGAGGTCATATCAGGGGACAGTAGTGATCAGGGTGAGGTATAACAGTGAACTGGTCTTTGTGGTAGAGTAAAATGTTGGGTCATAATAGTCGGTGTCGACCAACAAGAGCAAATAATGGGGAAAGAAATTGCATAAAAACAGCTTATTGTTCACAAAAAGCTAAAAATGTTCACCTTTTAGAATAAAAAAAAATCTGTATACAATATAAAGAAACGTTGCAGACTTCACTGATTAATCTGCATTTTAGTGCATCACCATCGAATAAACTGGAATAAAAAAAACACTTGGTAAGGTTTTTCTTTTGTCTCTAACATTAAATCCTCAAACTCTTTCTTTGCTATTGCTTATATGATAACCATACATATGGTACGTAAGGGTTTAAAACATCTTTATTTTTAATAAGAAATCAAATATAAAGGGGAAAAATTAGTCCATGCCACAGCGACGCCCTCTCTGATTCACAGTTTGTTCCTGCACCGTGTTGTGCACAGAGGCAATCATTTCCTTAATTATTAGTAACAGTGCAGCATTTTCGAACAACCCAGCGGCCATTGTTGTTTTTATATTCGTGGGATTCATTGACGTACTAGGCCCCCCAAAAAATTACAAAATATCCCGTTTTTCAAACATAGTTGTCATATTTGAGGTGGACAAAACTATAAACACACAAAGTTCTTCTGTGAAAACTGACCGCAGGGACAGAAGGAGTGTGAATGTGAGCTGCGTCTATGCTGGGTAAATTATTTTTAATTATTTTTAGCAAAGTCCATGAGAAATTGCTATCTTCTAATCCCAGACTTTTTTTTATTGCATGCAATGTTTAAAAAAAAACTTGTGCATTTCTCTTATCATCTTAATACATGGAAGCTATCATAAACACCTAAAAGACTTTATATACTTTCTCTGTTGTTATCTTTTATTAAACCACCATGAGGTTAATTAGCTCCTCATTTAGGTTCAGGCTGCTGTATGAAAACATGTTGATATATTTATATATGTCTAATACTGTGAGCATTACTGCACACTTCAATGGCATCTGAGAAGTAAGTAAACTTGTATTGGCATATGTTCGTCAGTCTGTGTTCTGCTGTGCTTGGTTACGGCGTTCCCATGAGGAGGTAGAACGTCAGCGCTACAATGAGCAGTAAGCAGATGGGAGAGTTGAAGGTCTGGTAGGCTGCCGAGGGCATGAAGATGTCTTCATATTTATAGATGCTGATCATGTGATCACTGACTGGGGGACTGTCAATGTCGTGTCTGGTGATGGAACCTGTCAGAAAAGGTAAGGCAAGGACATAAAAATTGAAGCCAAAAAAAAAAACCACAAACAGTACTTCGTGCTGATTCTCGACCACCTACCTTGAATGGCTGGACCCCATGCAAACAGGTAATACCAGGACAGGTGCAGGTCCACGAGTGTTTCCTCTCTGGGGACGTACAGTGGCCGTTTGAAACGACAGGTGACTCTGTTGTTCTCAAAAATGCCTTCTTCATCTCTGGCTGGATTTCTTTTAATCTCCTTGGCCCACTGGCCCACGTTGTAGAAGTGATGAATCCTCACTCGACCGTTGTCATCGTGCACGCAGCCCATCACGTCGTCCCCTCCCTGAAGGGGGAGACAAACAGTCATGTATTTCTTATGACGGAAACTGCATTCACTGGCCACTTAATTAGGAACACATAGTCAACTGTTTTTTTAAATGCTATTTTTTATGATCATAAATTGAATAAAGCATGAATTCATACATTAAGCAGCTGCTGGAGGTTCAGTGGGACAAACTTCAGTCCCTGTGTCTACTTAAGTGAGCAAGGCCTACCTGAGTGAACTGGCTGATTCATGCCACAATGTTGCCAAATCACATCAATCAAATCATCTCTCACTTGTTTAAAAAACATAACTAGCTGTCTTTAGAAGAGTGTCCTTTAAACACATCTTAGTTCAAACAACAATTCAAAATTCAATCGCTCTTTAAATTAGATCTTAAATTGTTCTGTATATTCAAGGAGTACTAAGGTACTACAAGTTATACTGAGTTTATACTACACATTGGTGGTTGATGGTGAATTTTTTCCAAAGCCACGTCAGCAGTCTACAAACATGAACAGCAGCTCACCATTTTCTTGTCAGAGGAAAATCCCACGGCCACCCAACCGTCCGTGTCTGCACTCAGTTCATACTCAACATCTGTGCCAATACGACGGTAGCTGAGGAAGTAGTCGCACGTCTCTGCATCGCAGCCTGGCTTCCCATATCTGCAGACAGACAGATGCAAAAACAAAAAAACATTTACTCGTTCACTGTCAAATAACAGGGATCAGAAGAATCGTGGCTCAATCCAGGTTTAAAATAGCAAAGAAATTAGCCTGATTTCAAAAGTCAGAGTCATACAGTGATTTCTAAAAATAAAACTGCACTGAGCTGTATTCTCAGAGACCAAAATAGTGTTCTGTCAAACCTGATGCAGCCTTTGGTGACACCACAGTCGCTGACTTTGATCTTGGCAAATGGATCCACTGGTGGAGCGGTGGGAAAGGGATAACCTAAAAGAACAATCACAACAATTACAGGTCATCAGTTTGATTCCTATGGGAGACCATGAGGTAAAAAAAATATATAGTTACAGGTTCATTTTTTTATTATTTTATTCGAAGCAGTTTGAGAATGGGTAAAAAGGCTGGTGTAGTTAGTAGATGACATTAAATGACCCCAGAGAATAAGCTTACATTGTTCCATAACAACAGTAAATGGGGACATTTTCTATTGAATATGAGGGTATTTTGAGGTCATTTAAATTAAATTTGGTTTGTAGTTATAGTACAGATGGTAAAACTGCAGCTGGAAAAACACACAAAAACAGTGTGGGGGCGAGGGAGAGTAAGTGAGAGAGTAAGAGAGAAGAGAGAATTGGGGAGAGCGAGAAAAGAGGGGAGCTGACCTGGGTGCTGAAAGGCCCTGCGCAGATGACACAGGTTTAACGGCTGTATTAAACATACACTTAAAGACACATTTATTTATCTCTGAATAAACGGATGTTGAGTGATTCTAATGAGTGATATTTAAATGTCTGTTGTCCTCACATATATATATATATATATATATATACAATTGTCCAACAATCTTGGTGAAACTGATCCGGACTCCTACCGTCATCGGACAGATATCTGGACTCCAGGAACTCGGAGGCGAAGGTGCTGTAGGAGTCCTTGTGCGGCTCCTGATGCCCCGGTTCTCCGTGCTCACCGTGTCCGGCCCTCAGTGCTCCCTCATCGGTTGGACTCGGCGCGACCCCCCACCATCCGCAATGAATAAGCAGCATCATGGGCTGCAACAGCCTCCGCAGCCAAATCATGTTGAATGTCTAAAAATCAGATAACTTTAATCTACGGATTAAAAACCAGCCTGACACCGAATCGGAACCGCATCTTCGTTTGTATTTCGGTTTTTTGCAGATATCGTTAGAAAAATCATCCTGGCATCCTGATGGCAGCTCGGCAGTTTACTTGCAGGGACCGTAAGTGGGTGATTCGGCTGCGATCACTTAGCGAGTTAAAGGCTAATCCCAGTTTAAATTAGCCAGATTGTTATCCTCAACGCATAAATCCAGCACACGGACCAATAATCCTCCTCGTAATCCTAATTCGGAAGGCCTGCGGCTGCTGAATAACCGTTGTCTTTTTTTTCGGTGGAAGTATTGGCTGGATGAATGGTCTCGTCCTCCTCCCCCAGCATCACCCAATGAGGAGGCGCTACGTGCTGCTATTATAATTGAAGCAATTGGAGATCAATGGAACACAATGTCAACGTAACGTAAAAAACGTTTCAAATCATCACGTGTAAACAATTAATTACAATACTACGAGAACCTATTTATTTAATTTTAACCGGTTTTAAAGCTATGGTTAATGATGTATAAATCTTGAGTTTTATTTCAATTAAAAGCATTGATATTAAAGAAGGTTATATTAGTTTCCAGATTTTACTCATTATGTAGATAGATATGTAGCTTTAAGTTTTGCAAAAAACAAATACTGAACAAGACGACACTATAAGGCCAACAAGGAAGGAGTTCATCATAAGTAGGGGTGCATGTGCAGGATTGTCATTTAACCACATGGTGGCAGCAACACTCTGCTGACGGTGATTGGATGTGGTCGTCAGAGGCCGCATTTGAGCTGGAAAATAAAGTTGTTAGGCCAAATTCGACATTGAATGGAGTGTATGTTAAGAGAGAGTGACTATACATAATAATGAATAATAATGACCAGAGGAAAGACGAAAAAGATTCTGAAAAAGACAGTGATCGAGGACAGTAGATTTGTATTTTTTTTAAATCAGTAATTTGTTTGTCTCAAAATTATATCTATTCTAGTTTTCAATGTATTTATTTATTTATTTTGCATTAAATAACACGGAAAATGTTGATGCCGTTTATACCAATGCCCGGTAGGTGGTGCTGCCGTTTCACAGTTTAAAAGAGACAAAAAGTGGGAATGAGACAACAGTCCCTGTCTATGACACCACAGATGACATATCTGTAAAAAAAAAAACTGTGTTGCCCTTTTTATTTTATTTTATTTTATTTTATTTTATTTTATTTCACATGTTCCTGCAGGCCTGGATGCATGTGTGCATCCACCCTTTAAAGTTTACCTTTGAAAGGCTGCTGTTCTGGAGAGAATCTACTCATGCATGCTGCTTTGTCTCACTTCTGTGCACAAACGTGTCTGTACATATGAATGTGTGACCTTTAACCCCCTGTATTTATACTGTCTCTGTCTGCAAACACCCGGGCACCCGATCAATCTCTCCTCTTCTTTTCAAACCTCCCAATTATCGCACATTTATCCTCATTTTATTTTAACTTTTTTGACTCTTCGCTCCCTCAACAACTTTCCTCCTACCCCCACACCCAACCCCACTGCCCCCTTGCCAATTACCATTCCACGAAGGGAGCGGTGCTTGCTGGGTAATGAGGGACTCTGGACGTACCAATCTTATCTTATTAGCCTTAAAGGGCCACTCATTAACACAAACACTCACTCTGTCTCACACACATATCCTCACACGTTGGTTCTTGCACACCAGGCCGCGGAGAGATGCATAAAGAGGGGACAAGACGGGAGAGGGGAGGAGACGGAGGGAGCGGAGCGTAGAGGGGATGAGACACGCCTCAAGGTGGGAGTGTGGTGGGTGGGTGGGTGGGTGAGGGGGAACAGGGGGAGGGCACTCTGGTAAATGTCAGTGGTGTGTCTCCTGGGCCTGAGAGACGAGTCAGTGACAGGCGAACAATGGCCGCTGGATCCATTCAGATGAACAGCTGCTAAAGAGTGCATGCCTGGATCTGTCTGCTGCATAGCCATCAGTTTGAACCAAACACACACAGAGAGAGAGAGGGAGAGAGAGAGGGAGAGAGAGAGAGAGAGACCTACATATTCATGCATTCGGACACCTGAGGTAAAGCTCTGGATGTTATTAGGGATCAGTTGTGTTTAGAATGGCTTAGTCATACCACTGAAAATGTACGTTCGTTATTTTCACAATAACAGCCACTAGAGGGCACTGGTGCGACTAATACTCCAGGGAGACATATACTCCGGAAAATATGGTAACTACAATTCTCACAATACAAAAAACAAATACAATACAATAAAATACAAATAGACAAATAACAAAAAAAAATTTCAATTTTCCCCTGCAAAACCTCTGTGCCACCAATGGGGGGCTGCCCCACATTTTGGAAATCAGTGGTTTATCCTACAAAGAATTATTAAATTCCACTGAGCCCATTTTCAACTAGATTAGTAACCAGACCACTTATCGACTCCACTGCCGTGTTAGCGTCAGGCTATCACCTCTGCCTCTAACAGGGTACCATCTGTCATAAAGCAGGTTTGTGATCTAGCAGCAGGTCTGGTTCCCTGCAGGGCTTCATTTAGAAGTTGTCAGAAATCACTTTACTCACAGATGACAGTAAGAGCCACTGACATGTTCGTCTGACTGCAGAGTGAAGGCACCGCCGCTCCCTCCCCTCTCCCATTAAAAAGACAACCCCCCCCCCCCCCCCCCCCCCCCATGTTCACTTTTGGTGTAATTTTCTGTGACAGTGGATTATGAAGAAAAGCAGCTGTGTTTTCCTCCTATTTGCATACCTTCTTTGGTCGGTGCGTGTCGTCTGTTGGGGTCTCTTGTGTACCAAAGGCAGAAAGGATCCATTGTGCTGATGAAGTGTTTGCTTTAGAGATAAGAAGCCACAGATGAGACATCGATCAGCGCTCATTAAACACCTCTATAACTGAAGTGACACACACACGGACACAGACACACACAGATGAAGGTGAATATACATCCCAAATAGACAAATATATTTAAGCTGTTAATGGATTTGATTCTAGTTCTGCATACAGTGAATTCTCCGGCTGCCACGTCGATGACTCTCAGAGTCTGTATTGACAGCAGACTTAAAATGTTTGTTGTCAGTAGACTTGGCCATTGAGCTGCGACACCATTCTTGTTCCATACAGACGTGTCGACTGGTCAGCGCCTTAAGCAGTGATTATGTTGTTGGGCTGTGGGAGCTGGGGGCTGCACCATCATTACTCTGGTTAATCAGAGCCTTGCTCCGGGTTAAGCTGCACAGCCTCCAGAGACAGGGTGATGGGCTCAGAACCGTGTCCAGCCTACAGTACTTATGTCTGGGCTACGGCAGCTCCTCTGACCCCAGCCTGCTCCAGCCAGTAATCTATAACTCTCCCTCGGAGCAAAGCACGTAGGCTGAAGCTCCTGACACATGACGCATGGTAATGAGACACACAGTATGAGACACTGACACAAACACCTGTTCACACAAACCCACACTTCTTACTAACGCCTGACTGTGCTCTGCTTTGCTGCAAGAGCAGAATTTTAAGCTAAATAAGAGATACAACGATTGTAATTTATGTTTTTTTTTATTTAGGTTAGTGTGACTTGTCAATACCAATTTTTGCTGATTCCAATTTCCTTCAACTGACATATAGCAGCATATACACAAATTGTTTTTCACAACAAGTAATTATGAAACATTTCCCACCAGCTGGACTGAGTCACAGGTTCTCTCTTCAGTTCCAAAACTTTCAAAATCAAGTGTTTGGTGACTCGACCAAACTTGGTCTGAGCAGCTGGTCATCCATCCATGGCCATATTTTATTTTTCACCATGAGGATTTTTGTTTTATCTTTTTTTTTACATACCAAGAATGTTGGAGAGACGGCTGACTCTGGACTGGGGCTAGCTTTAGCATTAGCTGTTGGTAGCCTTTTGGAACTAGTCATGTTTGGCTGTGTGATGGTGTTTTAGGTATCAGACTGTTCCAAATAATTTTGTGGTGGCTCCCCCTGTTGTTAAACTCACTATTACAGGTATTACAAATAAAAAGGTTAGAACTTCCTTGGCTAAAATCTAAGCTAAAAATTATTATGGTGGTGAACTCTCCTCTCCTGTCCTCCGACATAAATTGCGTGCGCAAAATGATTGGCTGCAAAACCAGAAATAAATCTGGTCATCCAGTGATTTTGAAAACTTCAAATTCAATTCCTCTGAGTTGAACTCAGTTGTTAGCCGTGACCTTGACTCAACATCCGATCTGATTCTACATCTAAATGTTTAACTACTCCTGTCGGTGCGATGCAGTAACTACCAGCTCAGCAGAACGGGTGTATAATGACCACAGGGATTGTTGGAAGTATCGAGACGCACACTCAGACACAAACACACTCCCTCAGGAATATAACGGAGCTCAGCGCAGCAGGGACCCTTCAGAGACGGGTATCTGAGCCAGGCCTGCCATTGGCCAGCATCCTCTAACCCAGTATCCCCTGTGAGCTCATTAGCCCTAATCATAACCACTTCCCTATGTCTCCTGTACACACTCCATCCATTGCCGCTCTGTCACACACAAATTGCACTCTCCATCAGGATCGTGGAGATAGTGTGTGTGCGTGCGTGTGTGTGCATGTGTTTTAAAGGACACGGAAGGTCAGAGAGCCTCCTGAGTCTCCAACATTCCTCCCAGAAGACTGCGCAGACTGGTGTGCACCGCGGCAGAGCGAAAGACGAATGGAGGTGAAGAGAAGGCAGAAGGAGGTTAAGAGCCGTGTTTTCGGGTGATTAAGTGGATGACCAGGTTTCAGTTCAGAGCCCCTGCGCTACTCTTTTGCGCCTGGTGACCCACATGGGTGGCAGAGTGCAGTAGGAGGAGGAAGACAAGGTGAGAGAGAACAGGCGAAAAAGAAAAAAGAGGCCGTTCATTTACAAAACTGCACATCCCACCAACACAGAAGAGACCCCAGAGAACGGCAGAATGAGATGAGACAACAAAGAGGCTCATCATCAGTTTGGTGAATGGATCTGTCCATCGCTCCCCTCCGTCTCCTTCTGCTCTGCTTTATCTTCTGTTCATCTCCTAATCAGCTTCTCATTGTGCCATTAGTTCAAACTGTAGTCTTAATCAGAGGCTTGGCACAGGCATGGCTCTCTACTGCCCTTCTCTGTCACACACACACACACACACACACACACAGGAGCCCAAACACTAAATAAACACATTTTAATGTGACACCAATCATGTCCCACACTTGATGAGCCTCACTCCTCCTCCCTCTTGTAACCAACAACCCAAACATAACACATGGGATGGCCGTCTCTGCCGTCCATCAGTCAAACGTGGCTTTTGGCACATTTCCCCGAGGAGGGACAATCATTTTAACTGCCTATCCCAAATCTTCCCATGAATACTGTACACACACACACACACACATAAATACACAGGCAGGGACTCTTCTCCTGTGCGTGTCAGTGAGTGTGTATTGATAATGTCCATTAGCATATTTATGATTATTGCCAGCCTCTTATTGTTTGCTCGCTCCATTAATCTTCATCTGCTGCCTTCCGTCTGACAGCTCAATCTAATGGGCCATCACTGAGCAGCTTCACACACACACACACACACACACACACACACAGACATGCTCATACACACACCCTCGCAATAATGCATAGTTCTACATAAAGCATGCTTGCATCAACACTCGAGGAGCATTGTCTGCACTCTCTCACAGACACACATGTTTGGGGACACATTGTGATTGACAATCACCCCTGTGAGTCTAATCACTGGAGGTTAACCCTCTGCCCCCCCCCTCCTCCCCCCTCCCCCTGCTGTGTGGGGGTCTCCTCAGCACCTTCAGCAGCCACAGGCAGATGTGAGCTCCTGCTGAGGTGCAGGTGGGTGAGGATGGCCCTGGGTGAGGCTTCACCAACCCCACTCTGTATACACCAGTATCAGCTGGTAACAGTGAGTATGTTTGTTACCAATGTTTACATTTACTGAAGAAGCTGTAGGCCTTTGGTTCAGTGGTTAATTTTGGACTTGACGAAGGATTGATGGTTCGAGCTCTACATTTACCAAGCACCAAAAACCCCCTGCGTGAAACAAAGTCACTGCTACATTTTATGGAATGGGATAAATTAGTGGTTTCCAAACTGAGGGACACCTTCTGAAGGGAAAACAGAACTATTGCAGAGGGAAGTTATGCCCATTTATGATTGGCACGGCTGATTATTTTAACATTGTTATTAAAATAATAATAATAAAAAATTAAATTAATATTTCTTTTTTTCTGTTACCTAAAACTGATGCTGATTTCTTTTTTCTGTTGCCTAAAACTGACGCTGTTGTAATCTGTAAATTTAAAAGCGTGGTTCTCAAAATGAGGGGTGGGACTACAAAGGGGGTACCGCCGGATTACAGGAAGGCACAGGAAGGCTAATGTATTCAATATTTTTCTTCATGCGTCCAACGGTAGAAAATTGTTACTGTTTATATATATTTATTTCCCCTGTTTAATGAGAATTTTCTGTAGAAATTACAGGGACTTTTAAAGCAATGTGTCGACACAGGAGGCTCAACAGTAGGATTATCTACAAAATGCAGGATAAGTAACTAGTGGAATAAAATATTTAAAAAACAAACAAACCATGAAATAGGAAAGTAATACACAAGAGTGACGTAGAAATACAGAGAGAGCCAGTCTGTCATCCGTGTGTCATTTATACAAAGATGTGTTGACAGCATGTGTATGTTGTGCTAACGTGTTAATATGTTTGTTTTAAGTCAGGTTGACTAATTGACTGACTGACTGACTGACTGTCTTATGGCTGATTAGTGAGTGAATAAGTTCTGAACCTGAGCCAAGTTCAATGGGAGGTCTGTTCTCCGGGTGCCTCTTCCTCCTGACTCCCTCCTCTCCGTCCTCTGTCTCATGCAACACCCTGCTGCTCCAGGAAGAGCGACCTGGGAGCCAGGATATCAGCGTGTCTCTGTGTGTGTTCATAAAAGCTGTTATCACACAGGGATAAGTGTTGATTTTCATCCAAACTGAAAAAACAAAAAACAAAAAAAAAAAACGCTTGGCACAACTAGCATGAGTGTATAATAGCTTAATTACCCCTGATTAATCTGCGCACAGTTTGTGGTTTTAGTGGGAGGAATGACAGCTTGGCTTGTAATATAAAGTGTAAACAAACAAAATCCGGCACAAAGGGGAATGTAACAGTCTTTTAACAGTAACGCAAACAGGACAGTTCACTGCAGTCTTTCCCTGAGCCACCACATCAGAGGAGGAGCTCCGCAACTGAATAAACTGCAGCCAATCCAACAGTTAGTCAGTGATCCAAACGATACTGCACCTGACAACACACACACACGCACACACGTACAGACTAAGCAGCTTCTTCCAGGAGAACATTTTAATTCTAGGTGTCCTACCTAATAACTGCTGCAACACCAAAAAGTGAGCGTTAGAAAGAGAGAAACAAACAAACAGAGGAAACTCCGTCTGACATTAAACAGATAGTGTTTTTACTAAATTGTGACCCACCAACTTTATTTCAATGACCCACCTTTGGAACACAACCCTCACTTTGACAAAGAGCAGACCCTTCTGCTAGTAGAAAAAACATTCAATATTATTCAGTAGTATATGTCTCAATTACATGGCTAGACTGTGGAGTGACCTGCCAAATTTATATCTATGCTCCACTTTTGGGTCCCAACCCACATTTTGAGAAACAGCCAATGTTTTTTTTATTTTTTTGTATATGACTTGGATTTCGGATTTATATGTCTCAAGAAGTCACGAACATGAAAATGAAATCAATAGTTTTCTTGTTTTAAATGCCTATAACCACAGATGACTGAAGCTAAATTAAAATAAATGTGACGTGATATGGTGATTGTGTTATTTATGAACTCTGTCACACACTTTTATTGGTGGAAACTATTGGGTACTGATAGATCAATAAGTCATATACTGTAGTGTTCATGTCTGATCAGAGTACAAACTACTTTCAACTGTTTTAACATGCTGGGCGTATCTGCCAGCACCTTATCACTGATAATATTTTTTATATAACCTAACATCTAAAATAAGACTTTTTTTATGAACAATAATTTAAACGATGTCTGAAGAAAATAATCCACGGCTGATTTATCGTTCAGCTGTAAGATGGTTAAAACCGGCCAACACAGGGTAGAAGGAGTCGTAACGCTGCTCCTTCCTGCGACGTAAAACACTTTTTTATAGAGGCTATCCATAATATTCCACTATCAGAGATTACAGAAGTTTTATCGTGATCTCCCACAAGAGATGAGTTTTATGTCGCCCGAGTAAATCATTTCTTTCTTCTGTGATGCCAGCTCTGACGACTGTTTGCCAGTGCAAGACTTGGGCACTATTAACATTTATGAGGCGTAAGATAATATATCTGGAAAGTTTATGAAAGCAGTAAATTGAAATATGCATAATTTGTTAACGTGCACAATGTAAAAAAAAGAGCTAAAGATGAGCTGTGAATTTAAATGCTGATTTTCTATTGTTTAACATCCTAGTCTTTCACAGTACAGATAATAAAGGAAATGTATATTTAAGAATAATACTAGCATATACTGTATATATATATATATATATATATAGAGAGAGAGAGAGAGAGAAACATATGAAGTGAGGGGCATGAAGCTATTGCAGGGGGGTCGAGGGGGTAGTTATATCATCAGTTATTGGCGCAGCTGATGGTTTGAAAATGCAAAATAAAGTTTGTTTGTAAATGAAAATGATACAAATTTCCTCTTTTATGTCTTGTTCTTTATAATACATAGTAACTGGTGCAGTTGGTACCCAAAATGATGGGCGGGGCCACAGGGAAGCACGGAGCTATTACAGGAGGGAACATTAAAGCTACTGTTAAAATAACCTAGTCTTCTAGCAATTTTATATGTATCAACAAATAATAATAATACATACAAATCAAAAAGAAAATACAATTATGAATTATTAATTTAACTACATTAAGTTAACTAGTTTAATCACTGCTACCTTGAAATGTTGTGTTAGCATTACATTTACTGAAAAGGCATTTCATCTAAGGCAGCTAAAAAAAAAAGAAAAAAATTAAAGAAAATCCATGTTTACATTCCATGTACAGTTGTGTTTTTAGGGCACTGAGTCTATGACCTGCTTAGCAGCAGGGCAGGAAGAGTTCAGACTGATGTATTAACACCGTGTTTCCCTCATCATCTGCTTCATTTAGCCCATGATTAACTCCCAATCAGGAGGCGTGATTAAAAGTCGCAGCAGAAATATTCCATACATATTTAATGCTGCAGCTCCCAAACTGCCAACAAAATAGATATTGGGCCCTAGCACACTCACACACACACACACACACACACACCGCCACATACATCTCCTCTCCTCGCCCGAGAACCTGTACCTACACATTTCACAGCTATCTCCCCCACTCCCCGGTGCTGCCCAGGTGGAATTAGAAAAACCAACCCCGCGGTCTCATTAATTAATTAAACACCGTGTGCCAGTGGCACCTGGGTACCAGTTATCACTGCCACTCAGACACACCGCGATCTCAATAACTGCCTCACCACAGGGCACACGGGGAGAGGAGGACAGTGGGGGTGAGGGGCAGGAGGGGAAAACATATCTGTGAGGTGAAGACACGGAGAGAGAGTGAAGAAAAAAAAAAAAAACAACTGCCGACATCATCTATGGGTAGACAAGTGGGACAAAACTATACTGACTATAATGTGATTATAGACCGCAGTGTTAAAGTGTTTTTTTTTTACGGTGGGGGTGTCGGGGGGGAGGGGTTGGAGGGGGGCGGTTGCGAGTCTTTCCCGCCCTCACAGGCTCCGTGGGGCCTTTTATCATGTGGCCCTGAAGGGTCCCTAAATCACTGCAGCAACAGAACACCCTCCTCCCTCATCATCTCCTCTTAATAGATCTGCATGTGCAATCACAGCGTGCACACACACAAACACACACGCAGACACACTTATTCCTGCTCTGTTAGCATTTTGTATGATTAAAACTGTCTGTATGTATATAAATGGTGTCATAAGTGTGAGTCTCCAATCTTTAATCTTCCTAATTATGTTTCCTGTCACATGGGAGCCAGGTTTTTTTTTTCTTTTTCCCCCCAGACTGCTGTGTATGTTTTTGTTAGGAGCTGGGATTTTATGTTTAAAGGCCAATACTATTAAGAAAAAAAAATATATATTTGTTTTTAAAGTCACTTCTCAAGTTTAATAAAAGCATAAAACAGCTTGAATTATTGATTGATTTATTTTGTTTTTTCTGAAATGTGTTAATGATGCAGATTGTCATTTTGTTTTCTTAATGATTTACAAAGCCAAATACAAATGCCTTTAATCCTGCAATATTTTCACAGCTGACATATTCCAAATCACGGGCTTTATTTTGTATTTTCTGTCTAAAATGAAACCGAGTCGATCTTTACTAATTGGACCAACAGGGTAAAATAATTATGAGCTTGGAAGAATGAGCCATAATGTCAATGATTTCTTTGTTTTTGAACTTTGGAGATTGACTCTGAAGAAAGGTCTGAATCAATGTGACGCACCAGGGATGAAACACTCAGATTTTCTATTTAAGAAATTACTTATAATAATATATGTATTCATTTCTAAAGAAAAAAAACAATATGTACTTTAATATAGAATACAGCAGCGTGTGTACATTGTGGGGGAGAGGGGGTCAGGAAGGTCAACCAGAGTTAAACAAAACACTATAAGAACTACTGCAGTGAGAATGACCTGTAACATCATCATCATTAGTGTTGCTGTTTGAATATGTAACACATTAACCCACCGTCTGCTCAGCAGCTACATTTAAGACACTCTGTAACTGAGTCATTCCCATTGTTATCACCGTTACCTCGCACTCAGACGTCGTCGTGCTGTAGTTCTGCTCTCTGCACCTGACGAAACGGAAAAAAGGAAAGCATGTTATCCCAAATGACAGCGCGACAGGTGAGCATTTAAAAAAAAACAAGAATATGTTGAACCTGTGACTGCCAATGTAGGGGCGGAAACCCAAAAGGGGCAGGGTACATTGTATACTGTATTAAATGTGGAAGAATTAACTGTAATTTTGAATGAATTTTTTGAAACATTTTATTTTAAAATTTTAAGCATATTGTTACTGCCTTACCTTATTATATTACACTAAATTGCAATATATTTACTAATTTTGCTATTATTATTATTTACTAATCACATGCTAAAATTATTCAGGGGTTGAGGATGAAAAAGTAATCAACATATAATATATATACTTATCTATATATATATATTATGATATAACATTTCTACCAGATTGACCCGGGTGTAACCACAGCATTATTTGGAGACCTGATCGAGTTTGCCAACCCCTGGCTGGGGTTGTCACTGTGGGCTGTTTATGCAGGAGAAGGCCAGGTTATTCATTTTGGAGTGGGAGGTAGCAAACTGTCAATTCTACTAAATACAAAAGAACTGTAGTCTAATTACATTTTTCTCACAGTTGTTTGTCGTGGTAATTTCCCGTCTCTAGATGAGAACATGACCCAGAAAGCCTGTCGCAGCCTCCTGCAGCAAATGGTTCCAAAGTCCAATGGTGATCGCGTTCTGAAGCAAACCAAAGTCTGCATCCAGCGTATCACGGAGCTCAAACTGCCTGCGGGGACACGGATCAGGGTCAACAACAACAAACACAATCTGGCGCCTTCACAACCGGAGTGGATGAAATATCGCTGTGACACTTTACTACAGCAGGAGTTCAAATACGACCTGCTGAGCTTCAACAGTGAGCACTTCGCCACCTTTATTAGATATGGACAAGCTGTGTGCAACCAGGTGAGTCAGGAACCAAATGTGGACCTGTTTTTACCAAAACTATTATCACCTGAACTGTCTTCAATCATGTCGTAAAAAAAATATCAATTTTTGGATTCTGCCATTTTTTTTAAACAGACAAAAAGATTAAGCTAAGTTTTTATTGACAAAAATCTTAGAGATCTTTGTGTTAGCAGGTCACCTGGTAACAGGTTTGGAAATAAGATACAAAACTGAGCCTTACTACTACAATTTGGCAAAGACAGGTTGTGGCTCAACACTCAACACCTGATTAAGGGACAAACTGATAGTGATGATTTCACTAGCACACACAGTTAAAAGTATTATTGTTATTGATGGGATTGACATTAAGTCAAGGGTCTCCAATGTTTATAGAGCCTCAAAGCTGATCAAAAGATGGAGCACGGCCCCCACAGGAACCACAGGCTTTAGAAATACTATTAGTATTGATGGAGTGAAGCGAACCTGAAAAGAAAACTTGCTTTGATAAATGAGTACGAAATTTGTCATGTTACCCATGAACCACCTACTTCTCTCAAACAAATAATTTTATGAGTAAAATTTCTTTTTCAGAATCCTTTTAAGAAAAGAATAATTTTATGAGTAAAATGATTTATTTTCTTTTTCAGAATCCTTTTAAGAAAAAGAACGAAGTCCACACGGGAACCACTCAGACTCTACAGACGATACTGCAGCAGCGGATGGAGACTGAAGCTGCATGGGTGTCTGCCACAGTACCTATGTGAATGAGGAGAATCAAATAATAATAATTAAAACAAAATCTGCACTTCTTTTATTTTTGACAACAGTTCATTAAACAACTGCATGGCATTAACTTTGTTCCTGTCTCTGAGCTCTCCTACTAAATCCTCAGCAGATTCTGTTAAAGGCCAAAAAACTTACAAAGTCCATGGGAGACAGAAAACTATTTGCTTTGTTGTTTATTAAGACTTCAGGAACGTCAATAGAAGTGTTTCAGTACAGCAGGAGGGCCGAGTGTGTGCAGTGTGCAGACACACTGACCTCCTGCTTTCCTCCTTGTTGATAATAACCCAGACACACACCGCCCATCAACCAGACCTCTAATAAAGCAAAACACTCTGTCATTTAATAACCTCCACGCAGCAGCAGGAGTCACAGAGAGGCCAGCATCAGTGAACGCAGGCACGGGAACCGAGCTCTGGCTGAACAGGAAGTGGTGGAAAAGCATCCTGTTTATTGATCTGGGAGAACGCAGCTATAACCAGATTTCTTTCTTTCACTTTTGCCCCCAAACACACAAAGACAGGAATGACTGTAGAAAATGCACACAATGCAAAATATTAGCTATACTGCAGTCACTCACGCACACACACAAACTGCTCTGACTTTTTTCCCCGACTGAGATCTGAAGTTAACTCTATTCTTCAGTGGTGAAACACTGACTTCTTTTATCTGTCCTCTTGGTGACCTCATGTCTCCGTATTTCTTCTTCCACCTGTTCAGTTATAATTACATGGGGTTCAGTCTGACTCTGTAATTACTGCACATGGACCCCTGAGGGAATGTAGTATTTTTCTCCAATTGCTTTTTTAAATAGAAATTAATTCATATATGCCATTTTGAACATACTTACTTTAATACTAAAGATTTATTATTATTATTATACTTTGCATATAAGACCACTTTTATATTACTAAATCCAAAATTTACTAAATTATTTTTTAAACTTTTTTAATGCAGAGTAAAAGAGTGCAGGCATCATAAATAAAGCTGAAATGTTTCCCCCAACCACACACACAAACTTTAAAATTTAAAATTTTATAAACACAGCATGCAAGAACGCATACTTCAGCCAAATACACTGTGACCCACAGTCAGTTTCCAGTCACTAGGCCCTGGATTGAAAACAGAAGTTTAAAGATTTTATTTTAGTTTAGTTTATTTTCAGTGTAATTTCTAAATTTCATACTTTGGACTTCTGACACTTCAAAATTCTTGTTTTGATTTGAAACACAGACGTTTAAAGATTTTAGTTTATTTTCAGTGTAATTTTTAAATTTTATACTTTGGACCTCTGACACTTCAAAATTCTTGTTTTGATTCATTAAAAATATCACAAAAATATGGAATTAATTTCTAGATAAAATGATGAATAATCCATCCATTCAGCATTATAGACAATATTATTTATATATATTTTGTTTTTTAACTTTTTTTATTTATTTTTTGTTACACCTTGATGGCAGACTGCCCAAAAATATTGACTTACACGAACAGTTCCAGTGGGATTCTTTTTCTCCCCCTGATCCAGTTCTCACATCACTGGCTCAGTCTGCAGATGTAGCCGTACAGCTGGTCTGAGAAGGCCTGTAAAGAGAACTTATCTTGTACTCTTCTCCTCCCAGCCTCACCCATGTCTCTGCGCAGTTTCGGCTCCTTGATCAGTCTCTCCATGGCCTTAGCGAAGGCCTCGGCTGTGGGTTCACACAAGAAGCCAGTTTCACCATCTGCCACGCTCTCCAGCGGACCTCCAGAGTTCACAGCAATGACAGGGCAGCAGCAGTACATGGCCTCTACAGGCACTATCCCAAAATGCTCTCTGCTTGGGGTGTAGAGCACGGCCGTGCTGCCCCGCAGCAGCGCCACCTTCAGAGAATCAGAAGGTGAACGCAGGAAGGCGACAGATTTCTCCAGGTGGAGCTTTGAGGCCAGCTCCTTTAATTCAGTGTAATGTTGAACATTTTCAGTAACTCTGTCATCGTAGCCTCCTGCCATCACAAGGTGAATGCCTGCACTCTGGGCCGTAGGGAGGCTGTTCTCTAGGGCTGCCAGAGCCTCCAGAGCCAAGCTCAGGTTCTTCTTTCTCTCATATCTGTTCAGAGACAGAAACACACAGGAGGTTTTCTCAGGAAGCAGCCCATCTAGGCCCTGAGCGTCAGCACGCGGTTGGTCGAAGGTTAGTGTGTTGAGTGAAGGGTAGAGGACGTCCGTCTGCACACTGCTGAGACTGTGAAAAGTCTCCCTGAAGATGCCAGCAGTGAAGTTGCTATTTACTAGAATCTGACAAGAAAATACAGACATTAGTTTACAAAGAACGGCACGTAATGAAACCCATGTGTTTGATAGACATAGTTGAAAAGTGCAAAAGCACTTTTCAACTATGTCTATCACCAGCTTTTTACAGAGCACATCAAATATTTTTGCACTTTTCAACTATGACTATCACCAGCTTTTTACAGAGCACATCCTTAGAAACATGGGACAGCTCCTCACCAACCCTCAGATGAAGTTATGGACAACACTTGGTTTGGTTAAAGTTAAAGTTAAAAACCCACTCTGGTGTCACATAACATGGTATTTTAAGCAAAGTATTGCTATTATAACAACATTCCTGTCCCATAAAAACATTTTGGCTCTTATACCACATCCCAACAACAGCTTACCATATCAGCCATTCCTGTGGTGCGTTCCTCCAGCCAGTCAATAGGAGCTCTGTACAGCTTCTTTAGAATCGACTTCTTCTGGGTCAGCAGCTGGTCTGGGAAGTGACAGTAAAACAAAACCTTCTTCCTGTGACGGGACAGTCGCAGCACTGGGATACACACTGACACCTACAGTGGAAGAGAACTGGTTAATAAAAATATCTTTGTGTTTTGCCTAAAGTTGTTGCTACACCTATTAGAAATTTAGGCAGTAACTTTGGTGTGTGACATTAATGATTGTACTTGGTGGGTAGAATCACCTGATCACAGAAGATGACATCATACTCCAACCCACTAAGAAAGATGAGGTACAAGGCCACGTAGATCATCCTCAGGTATGCACACAGAGCATGTAGGTAGCCAAACACACTGGTGGGGAGCCAGTCACCCACACAGACCTGTGAAATGAGTATGCAAACCAATGAAAGCATACATTTTCACAGTTCCTGCAATGGACATGTGACTCTCAACGCACCACTGGCAGATCTGGGTCCAGGGTTTCCGAAAAGCAGTGTGTTGGGTCATAGTGAGCCGTCCAGATCTGAACACTGCATCCCTTAGATTTCAAAGCAACAGCAGCATCAACCACTAGTCGCTCAGCTCCACCAATACCGAGGTCCGGATGGAGGAACACCACCCGTGCCATCCTGTTCACAGTAATAGATTGTAGGAAAAACTTTACCTAAAAAGTGTGAAATACATTTAAATAGGTGATATATGCACAGAGTAAATAGTAAATCAAAGGTTTGTTTTGATGTATGTCAACAGAGTGATGTATGTCAATGAACTACAGGTCTTAGCAAAATAGTTCTGATTTCGCAGCCCATAAAGCTGTTCAGGTAATCCACTTATAAATAACTGTATATACAGCTTAACCACACAAACACGCCATGTTTTAAGTACAAGGTTTTTTTACCTTTGGGTGTCCTCGGTATCCTACCGAAGCTTGAAAACGTGCGGTTAGGATTAATCAGCTACCCATAGCGAAAACTACCGTATGGGAAACTGCGCCGCTCAGGGAGCCATATTGGTTCGAATGAAGGGAGGAAACAGGCATAGTGGCTGTTCTAGTTTGAACCAAAATGGCGCCTAGTTTCCTACGCGTACAGGCGACACGTCACCCACATAAACAAAGCTGTTCATTCATTTTCCTGACTTAAAATATATGGACATATTTTAAATATATTATGATAGATTTCTTGTTTTTTGCAAATGCTAGTTAAGAATTTAACAATTGAACTTAAATGTACTTAATAGATGTTTTTAATAGTATTTTTGCGTTTTAATGTCAACAACAGTTCAGGCGTCTGTTGGGTTACACTGACTGGTCTTGCGTATTGCAGTCGTGTCCTTTTCAGATGAGCGTCAGCTTTGTGGGGTCTCTTCTCAAGTTTTCACCCGTTAAATCACCGGTTGTATCTCACGCTTGTCATTCTACGTGGACATCAACTGCAAGAGAGACACTGCGCTAACCCTTAGATCACGACAATTATATCAAAATGGTAAGAATTCCATCCTCACACTACATTATCATCAGCGTTGAGGAAAGGTAGAAATTTCAGCTCATTCAGAGATATGGATAGATGTGTTAGCCTTCTTGCTAACTTTAGCTCAACATTTGTTGACGTGGCTCTTTTTAGAGATTAAACGAATCGAAGAAACACAAGTTAAGCTGTTCCAGAACATAATTATTTAGCTATATATTTATACATTTTGTTAAACATGCACGTGAGCACTAGAAAGATTAACAACTAGTGTGGATGTTCACTGGGGGCCTTTACTTTCAATCTCGATTTCTAAATCAATGTTTTGTTGACCTACTTAATTTTGTTATTGTAATGTTTAAACCTCATTAGTGAATACATATTTAAATGTACTTCGGTCGTGTATACTGGTCACCAAGTGCATTTAAATATTACATATTGTAACCTTATGTTTAATTCAAATTCTGTTGAAACACAAACATGGAAAGACTTAAACCATAATATGATATTATGTGTTCATTCATGATTACAATTATTCAAAAACACAAGTCTTAATCTAGCCCTGCAGTCATCAAGAACAAATGTAATTCAATAGTTACAACATGGTTTCAGGTCAACATTGATATTACACTAATCTAAATGATCACAGAGGTTTGGTATTGTCTCAAAGAGTGTTTTGTTTTTTTGTTTTAGCCTGGACCAGCAGCAAGTGCAACCAATGTTGGGGCCTCTAGTCGTTCCCCCAGTAAGACTGTTGCTCCCCGGGCAGCAGGCTCTACAGTCAGGCAAAGGTACACATCTGACCTCTATCCCTTCACAAAACTTTGACTTTGCATTTTGAATCTACTGTATGTGATAGGAGGCACAGTCCCATTATTTTCAATTCACAAAGATGTATTAAATACTGATGATGTTGGGGTTCAGAAGGAAGTAGTAATAAAAAAAAGTTTACTTAACTTCTGGTTGGCAGAAAAACACAAAACTTTACTTAGGAACTGGGATTTGCTGTGTTTTTAACTTCTGGTTGGCAGAAAAACACAATTACAACTGTTGCATTTTTACCGATCTTGATAAGTTAATCATGCATATAAAAAGCATTGTGACTTCCACTCAGTCCACCATCATTGTCATTTTGTAAAAAGTTATTGGATTTTACATGGCACTTCCCTCTGTAAATTAGAACAGCAGATAGATGAGGCTGTGAGCTTAATCAGTGCGTAATCAGAGGCCCACTCTTGCCTCATTATTACTGTTACCGTTACCCTTTTCATTACATCATTAACCTCAGTTTAATCTCTTCACACGAGTGAAGCTGCCATGAATCTCAACACTGCAGTCGTTTGTACTGAAGGTGTTTATATAGGCTTACGTGGATATGACATCATTTTTACAAGTTTCAAGTTCTTCCAGATTACTTAATTACAGATCTTTTTCAAATCCATAATTAAGCAACAATAATTATACATGAAACATAGTCTTGACCTGTTGTTTCATCTGTATGTGTGTTTTACAGGAAGGCTACCAGCAGCGGCACGCGCAGTGGTGGCAGAGCCACAGGGTCAGCTGGCACTGGAGGAATGTGGCGCTTCTACACAGAAGACTCACCAGGTCTTAAAGTGTAAGTCCAATATAAAACAATTACACATTTTAATTTACAGCTATGATAAACTGTATTAAGGCGCATCTGCACGTACATACAGACATATTTTGTGTTGGAGTATATAAAAGTATGTTAGACAAAACTTTGCTGCATCTCCACCCTGAATATCAGAGACTGCATCCTGTCTCCTGGTCATAGTCGGCCGTGGATGATCGATGGTGCTGTGGTGATTATTGAGTGTGTCTCTCCAGCAGTCAGAGGAGGGCAGATTTGCCATACAGTGCTGTATATTGAGTGCATGTTTGTTTCCGCGTTAGACGCCAGACTCAAAGCTTCATTAAAGGATCCACTCTGAAAGGTCAACTCAATTACAGCCTTCTGACAGGGAGGCGAAGGAGGAAGAGGAGGGGAGCCGCGGAGGAGATGGTTGGCATGGAAATGCTGCTACTTAGTAATGCGCCCCGTGCACCCCTCCCCGCCCTCACTCCCTCCTTGAGAGATGAGAGCCCCTCCTTGTTTCCGAAGCTCATCAATAAAATCAGGAGCTCCACTGAGACTTCCACTCTGGTTGGGGTTACTGCAAATTATGGGACTGTGTGTGTAGTGTTGTGGATAGTTGTGGGTCAACCAAACAGATTCCTATCATTTTAGTAAGAAAGAAAGTGTAGCTGACTCTGCGGTTGAAGTGTGTGTGTCTGTGGCCCAGGGGGTTTAAACCTCTGTAGTTAATGTGCTATTGTGAGTTTCCAACAATACAAGTGTGTGTGTTAATCAGCATCTCTTTGTTATTGTGACAGTGGGCCTGTGCCAGTGCTGGTGATGAGCCTGCTCTTCATCGCTTCAGTCTTCATGCTGCACATCTGGGGGAAGTACACACGCTCCTAATCCTCCACCTGATGACCTTTGACCCCGTGATTTGGCTTCTTAACACGTTGGAACTGGACCAAACAAGAATTGAACAACTCTACGCTCATAGTTCCATATTTTTTCCATCATTGCTACAAACACACACACACACACATCCATATACTGGACTTGTATGCATCCTTCAAACTACATGGTCTTCACCTCAGTCTGATGTTGGTTTTTTTTGTCCACCTGCGTTTTAAACATCTGATCAGGGGACCTGAAGGACAACCTCCACCTGCGTTTTAAATCTGATCAGGGGACCTGAAGGACAACCCTGCTGACCTGACCAGGACATGCCATTTCTCCAGTCCTTCTAACAAACGTCATCAGCTGCAGGAAGATGCAGTGTTGTGCTCAAAGACACTATATTTGTTTCCAGGCCCACTGCAAACATTTCTCTTGGTAGCTCAAAAATAATGGTTTTTTTTAAAGCATCATTTGTACAAAAATAATTGTAATATTGTACAATAAAAGGTAAAACCCACTCATCTGTATTTGAGTTGTGTTATTTCAAGTCCTGTTCTAAGGTCTGGAAAAAAGAACAGTTCCACGTCTAGATATAAACTGAAAATAAGAAGTGAACAAAGTCATGAAATGTGAGGAAGTAGAATTTGACTGAAAGTAGTTCATAAGTCTGGTCGATGGGGAAACAGTTTTTTCTATAAACTTTATTTCTACTAAAGTCATTTGCAAACCTAATGTTATACCCTTACTTAATTACTTGAATTGTTTAAAATACATTAAAAGAATCTTAATAAATAGTTCAAAGAAACGTGTACATTCTGCTATCTGGCCCTCAGCAACTGATAATGTAAAGATAAAGAAGAAAAGGTGGGTCATGAGCTGAGCAGGACATAAGACTGGGCCACAGCCCACACTACATAAGAATCCAGAATACATAATATATAATGTTTACTTTTGCAGAAGTTATTGAATAAACGATTAAGTTACTATTACTTTAAACTGCAGAATATAAATTATTTTCCCTTTCTTTGATGTTTTCCTGGACATCTGTTCGAGTACCTTTGACAACAGGCAGCGTATTAAAAACTCAGTTGTAAGCGCTTTGGTCACTGTTATATTGTCTTTTCCTGAGGGGGGCGCTGCAGACTATTTTCTGAGTATCAGTGACTGGGAAAATACCAGGCCGTCTCACTCAGACGGACAAAAGTATACATGTTACCATCGGTGATGACTTTCCTCATCAAACACCATGTTTAACCAAACTGTACATCACATGTCGTGACGTCTGTTGTGACTGCATAACACACTGGTGATTAGAAGGGCATTTGTTAAGTAAGAGAAGTAACTGAATGGAGGGGATCAGGAAACAAGTGCTGACAAAAAAACGTAAAAGTTTTACTGAGTGTTTTTCATGGTTCCAGCTCAGGTGTGATTGAGTGAGGTTGTAGTTTTACTGTAGTTCTACCCCAGCTAGCATCACCGGCATATGCTGAATATGTAATTACCAGCTGGCACGGTTTTTCCCTTGTCCCTGTGTGTGTGTGTGTGTGTGTGTTCAACCCCTGTTTTGAACATAGCATTCGGATCTTGCTCATTAATTTATTCTGTTGCTATGGCTGTGCTTTCCCACTGGCTTCCAGTGTTCGTGGCAGCATCAGGCGCTACTTCTTCACCGCCTTCTCTCTTGTCCCCTTCTACACACACACACTGAGACACACTCACAAACTCAATGACCCAATTCACGGTGGCACAACACAGCACAGAGCCAGAATAATTCAACATAACGATTAAATATGAAGGAGCTGTGCTGAAGCCGTCCCTCAGTGTACTGGAGCCAACGCGGGCCCAGGCAGCATGTGATGCTCCCTAACCCACCCACCAACCCCCCCACCCGCTCCACACACACACGTGCCCCGCTGCAACCTGTAGTCCCAAACTTCTTGTGACACTGTCTTCCCATTTCAGTTTAATGTTTCATCATGGGCTGAAACAACAGGAGAAAGAATTTAGTTTCAAATGCATTGACCACAGTTGTGTCGTTCATCTTTAAACCTGAGGAAAAATCAAAACAATAACTTTGGTCATCCTTTTGGTTTCTTTCATATACTTCTCCGTAAGTTTTGCTACACATTACTGGCAAGCTAGGTATCTTCTTTCGACTTATCGGCACACAAGCTAAGCAACTGACTGACGCATCATCGCCACTAAGTGGTGGGAAGCTGTTGTGTAACCGAACATCTCATGAAAATAGAAAATACCAAACAATTGCTACAACCCAAAGGTTCTAAATTGAACGTTTTTTGGGGCCTACTTATTCGCATTGCCGCCCAGAAACACAGTTGAAAACTTGTTATTTGCATTGCCGCCCAGAAACACAGTTGAAAATCACAAATCTGTTTTCAGGTTTGGGGCTCTTGTTTTTCAAACATATGTATAAAACATTTAAAGAGTTTTCTAAGAGGGTTCCAGCTGCCCTCGTTTTTCAGAAGAATGTTTGACCAAGTTACAACATCAGATTTGAACATGGCGTAAAACTGTGTACAGTAGCCGCCACAGGGGAGGAGGGATTTCAGTTTGTACTCAATTAAACTTGTGTTTTACAAGTTTCATAAAAGACATTTAACTTTTCAGCCAAGAATGTTAATATTCTCCTACTTCACGTACTTAAACTAGATGAGTTTAAAACAGATTTAAATAAGAGTGGCTTTTAAAGAATGCAAATAAAGATGTCCAGGAGGCTAAAGAAAGCTATCCTTATGCTAGCTCTGTAGCTATAGAGAACAAACACACAATATGGCTTTTACCATATAACCATATAGCTTAAATAAATCAGCCCATGTTAGCCAAAGGGCTAACCCAGGATATTTACTACCCCAATAATACTTCTTAAAGATTTTCTTAGGACAAGTTCTTTGAAAAAAAAACAATAAAAAAAACCCTTAATGTACTGTACATGTGATAAGACAAAACATTCAAGTGTGACTTATTTTGATCACACAACAAATTATTCTCTTGATCTAGAACTGATTTATGTCACCGCTCCTCAGGATATGATGACCTGATGACAGGGAACCATCGTTTGCCCAAGTCATTCAGGGTAAAACGGAAAACAACACAGCTTTCATTCATCTCCAAACCCATAACATCACATCAAAAGGTCTGTGACCTCACATTCAATTCAATTCAAAATTGTGATTGCAAAAAGTGTCTGATTTAAATCAGTGGTTTTATCGTTCTATTTTTGTCACCAAATTTTTGACCAAGATTTTGTGGAGACCTGTTCGAATTATTGAAGGTTTGCACAAGATGTTTTCCTTGAAATGGACAAAATGTTTGAAAGGAAGTGGGTTTAAGACAGACATACACCCGAATTCTTCAAAAGAGGTTTCTGACAGAATACGTAGAGACATGGCTCCTTCATTTTCATAAATTTGTGTTCGATATTTTGAACTCCCCCTCGTATAAGTGAGGAATACATTTTTTTATTTTCACTGCACTCTGTGTGCTGACGAGACTCTAACAACACAGTGCAGAGCCAGATAAACTGTCGCAGTCCCAGACATAGGAACAGAAGAGAAAAAATAAGATTTGCTTTCTTTAGAGCATTTCCTCTCTGTGTCTTTTTCACCAGAAACCCATATCCTGCAGAAACCACAGACTTTGTTAGAGGGGAAGGCCCCTCATGCTGCCAGTGAGGTAAGCATGCACTTGTGTACGGCCTGAACACTTGTAAATAGGTCACATGCATTTTCTACATGACACATGTTGCACTGTGGTTTCACTTCACTCCTTTCCCTCCTTCTCTCTCTCGCTTGTCTCTCCCATTTCAGTCTGTGTCTATGTCACTCTATCTCACATCCATCAAATACATGTTTATGCCCCCAGCTATCAGGTTGTATCAGGTGTAGCAGTGGGCCTGTGATTTTTTAAGTCTTGTCAAGTACTGTGCAGAATATTTCTTCCTGAGATGTAAGCACCAAGTCTTGCATGCACCTGTGTCAATTATGTCTGTCTGTATGTGTGTATTTTAGAACAGATCACATGGTTGGTAAAGCGTGGAATGGAAGGACAGACGGTAGGGATTAATCCATACTCCGAGAGCGAGTGCATCCTGAGGGATGTCCTGAAAAATCAGGGGTCAGTTGACGACGAGGACTTCAGAACTTTCAATGTGTAGAAACTGTAAAAAAAAATGTCAGAAATGTGTATCTGTCATGTACTGTTAAAACAAATACCTGAATGTATTTCTCAAATTTATACCGATGACCTGAGTGAGATCTTGCCCAGTGCCTGTTGTTTGGTGTTTATTTCTGGGTAACATCCAGATGTCTTTGGCATGTATATAATGTTGTACTTTAAAAATAGATTTTGAAGTAGTTGTGTCAGTTTTATGAAACTATATCATTTCCTTGTCCTTATAGTTGTTCCTTTTTTAATTCTTTGTTCATTTTTAGCAACTGCCATTGTGACGATTTCAGTTCCTGTCATGAGTCGTCATGAGTCTGTACTGAACCTGTTTTTTACCTCACCTCACAAGTTGCTGCTGATGCTGCTAGTAGTGTTTGTAATTTTCGATGTCTGCACTTCATATATCTGTTTTTAAACTCAGTGTATATTATATTTCAAATGTATTAAAAAATACAGTTTTACATCTCTTTTTACTGTGAAACTATGTTTACAACTCATTGCTGTGGGCTTTATTGTAAGCAAGTGATAAAGAAAATAATAAAGTTAGTAAAGTAAAATAATCACTGCTGTTTCATTTTACTACTATGTGTGTATTTATGAATACATACATACTGGGGCGCCAAAAGGGGAGGGGGATTCCAGGGGTCCATAATTAAGAGGGACACACAGGGGCCCCCAATAAACTGATAATACTGACATAAAATAATATGACACGAGGTTGAATGGGAATAATAGTCAAAAATACCAGAGGTTCCTGTAAATTAGCGTCAACATTTTTCACTGGCCCTCTCGGCCCGCTGTGTTAACCACCCAGTAGGAATCATTTTCATGGGGCCCAAAATCCCAAGTAGCGCCCCTGGATAAATCACACATTAATATAGTTATTATTAACTTTAAAAATATGTGATATATCAATCGTATTTATATCTGCTAAATACGCAGGTCCACGTGTGATCACAGGACAACTGATGAAGTGCAGATCAGTCAGTAGCTGTGCAGTGTAACACTCTCCTGCCTGGTCTGCTGAGAGGTGAGAACATGTTCACTGTAAAATAATCTGACTTCATGTTCTGCTATTAGGATCACACGCTCGCTGTCATATGTCCTGCAAGTGGGTCAGGGGGGTGAGAGGGGAAGATTTGGAAGGTGTGTGTGTGTGTGTGTGTGTGTCAGCTGGAGACTCCCTGTTCTCTCTGTACTCGGATCTTCTTTCAGAAAGAAATAAGAGCGTCAGAGTCTGAGCCAAGGCTGAATCTGCATCTATCAGTGCCCTCATCACCTCCCCCTCCTCAGCCCGTCTCCCTCCCTCTTCCCCTCTCTCTGTAATGCCCT